TGGTTTCCCCATCTTCCCAATGTGATCAAGACAATGATTCCCATTCGTTGGTACTGCAGGACCCTGGGTGTAAACACAAAGCACAGTGTTTTCTGTCCACTCCCACCCCTCCCTCCAGTGGCTGGTGCGGGAAATAAGTGAGGTGAGGAGGGTGTGCTATTTGCAGGTTAGAGCTCGGGCTGACACTCAGAATAGCAAGTTCTAGCAGCCATTGTGCTAAACGCAGGGCTAGCCCAGCACCTGGCACATCATGCGTCCTCAAGAAACCATCTGTTGGAACTGAAGATAATTTAGGATTTCAGTTTAAGGACGTGTTCTCTACATCTGCTGCAAAAAGCTGCTATGACCAGCTGCCACCCATCCCTCCTTCCAGCAACTCCAGACCGGGAAACCAGAATTAAATGCTATATACTATTTGTTTTCTTTTGGAAATGAACAAATATGATTACTGCTAGGTTATAATGCACATACTTTCATTGTTGGTACTGTATTTCCTATTCCCTTTCCCACATACTCTTCCCAACATACTTTTCCCTTTGCTTAAATTGTCCTCTAGAATCTGCAAGGCCAAGCTGAAGTTTAGGGATCAAATTTTCTAACAGCAAGTGGTATTAGGTTAGATCAATTGAACAGCTTGTCTTTATTCATGGGCTATATGGAAGTTTATCTCCTCACTCCTCTTCCCTTTGTCCCTGCCTCCTAAATGCCTTTTCTTGCTCCTGATCTGCCCATCTCTCAGAGACCACTTCTTGCACTCTAGGCTGAATCTGATGCCAGAGCCAAGCAGCATAAAGAGTTTTTTTTACAGGTGGTAAGCATTAGAGGAAGCTAACTAGCAAAAGAGGTGGACTTGAGCTCCCTAAAAGGTTATTATAATACAAAGTGAAGTAAACCCACAGCTAAAGCATCCCTGAACTCCTCACAATAGCTTCGACTTTATTCTGTTAGCTTGAAGTTTTTTGAAGAAGAAAAGCACTTAAGTTTTTGCCTGGGTATAACTGATCACAACCCAAAACCGCTGTCTTATTATGTCAGCCGTTTAAAATGTAGATTCAACACTGAAATACCCAGCAACAGAAATTCCGAGATAACGAGACTGTGGGCAAACCTGGCTGTGACGTGGATATGGTCTTTGAGAGGAACCAAGAAGATCCCATGCTATAAAACCCCTCGGGTTTTGAGGAAGATGAACTGTCAGATGGAGGAGTGCAACTGCCAATGGAGAGGAGTGAGGATGGCAGAGTAGCCAGTTCCAGAGACTGGACAGCCTCAAAACTTGGGTTTTGGCTTCAGGAGACAGTAACATGGTAATAGTTTTACTTTTTGAATTGGCTTGCAAAGGCCAAATTAAAGTTCATTTGCCTTGAGCATATACACTGGCTTGGCTGGCTGAAGAGTGGGACACACTGGCCTATAGGAGAAAAAACCAACCAGCCAGGGATTTCAAAATAGCTGTGGATGATTCATAAATGAATGGACCAGTTTAGTACTTCACACAGTGCTCGTGCTTGGACTCACAGGATGCTAGAGGAAGGCCTTCATCTCAGAGTCACCTTCACCAGATAAGGAAAGCAAGGGCCATGGAGGTGAAGGAGGCAGTCTAAGAGCACGCAGATTACAGAGGCTCTTTGGAATGCATTCTTGCTGGACACCCCCTCTCTGCAAGTGGCTGGGTCACTCCCCTCCTGAACCTCCACGGCCCTGTGAGAGAGGCCAGGAGCAGGTGACGGGAAGCACCCTGAGTTCAGTCTGAGGACAGCAGATTTCTTCCTTCCTCTACCTGAGTCTCCCTTCCTCATTGAGCCTCTCGGCTTCTTCATCTTTGAAGTAGGAATTATTCCCATTTCAGGGTGGTAATAATTGTGAGGATAAAGTTAAATAATGAATGTGAAAGGAGCTTTTAAAAACAGCAAATGGCCAGGCATGGAGGCTCACACCTGTAACCCTAGCACTTTGGGATGCCAAGGAGAGACGATCACTTGAGGCCAGGAGTTCAAGACCAGCCTGAGCAAGAGCGAGACCCCCGTCTTTACAAAAAATAGAAAAATTAGCTGGGTGTGGTGGCAAATGCCTGTAGTCCCAGGTACTTGGGAGGCTGAGGCAGGAGAATGTCTTGAGCCCAGGAGTTGGGGGTTGCAATAAGCTATGATGACACTACTGCACCCCAGCCCAGGCAACAAAATGAGACCCTGTCTCCAAAAAAAAAAAAAAAAAGCCACCGAATGTCAGGTAATATTATTCCAAATAGCGTTTGTGTTTCTATACTGACACTTGGCCAGGTTCTGTCTAGCATTATAGTTCTTGCTTATTCTTCCTTGGGGGATGCCCTCCTCACCCCCACAAGGTGGAGCGTCACTTCAGGTGGACATTGTATTACTTTTATCTGTTGTCCCTCCAGTCCCTTTCATAGCACGTTCTGTGTGGTGGCTGCTTGGTCATTATTTGTTGAACTGGATCCCTTATAATAAACTACTATTGTCTTGGTCAAACTTCCTTCTTTCTGTGGTACTGAGAAAATTCCAAGTGATTGTAACCTTTTCTTTAAAAAAAAAAAGAGAGAGAATAAGAGGCACAGCGTATGTTTACTAAAAAGCTGACATTTTAATGGTACCCTTTTTAAACTAGTTCACTTTTGTACGAAATGGGAGGAATACAGATTCAGATGTAAGAAAATCTCATAAATTGAGAAGAGTTGAAGAACCAAGTTTTATGAAATTGGTTTAATGCCACTGAGGGGTAAATAAGAGAAAAATAGAACAGATCTATGAACTGCTTAAGTCCACACTGAAGTGTTTTGGGGCCCTTCTAGGATTTCCTGGAGCCCTGTAGACTGTTATTCACCGTTCACATATGCACATATAAAAATATACCATCTATAAATAGCCACCTGCCTTTTCAGTGAAATTAAAGATGGAAGAGTTAGAAGAGATTTTCCCAGTGTAATTATAGGGCTCAAACCTACAGCTGTTCTACTACTATAATTCTACCCAGAGAATTTCTAATATCACTATTTTATTTGAAGCACATTTAAAAAATTCCATTTTTTTTCTTTCATGGTAAGATGTTGTCAACAGGACATTTATTTTTTTCTTGCTGAGATTTCTCACATACCTATATGAAAAGATTAGGTGTTGCATGGGGTTGTTGTGTAGACTAGTTTTGTTTTATAAACTGCAGAAAATTTTCACAATGTTTCTGCTCCTTGTCTGGGGATTAACACCAAACTCCTGCCAATGTTTTCCTTAAACTCTACACATGCCCTTTCACAAACACCCTCCCTTACATATTTTCTGCAAAGATGATGTGCTTCCTTAAGGAAAATCCCAGAGCTTCTAAAATTCTTAGGTAAAAATCCACTGCATAAGAATGTAGCACACTGAAAGGAATTAAACTGAACACTTTTATCTTTGCTTACAAAAAAGCAGGTAGCAATTTATTCATATACTATCTTTGTTCCCTCACTAAAGACCAACACTCTTCAATCTTTGAGAGCCCTGAAAGACAAGTCAGTGCTGCTGAGAGGAAGGGGACATATTTATAGAAGCAATGACATAGCTCTCTTAGAAGGGTCTAAGTGTCTTCAGCAGTTAATTTGCAAGAAAAAAACCCCATTGGGAGCCTTCCACCTACTCTAAAAGCAAACACTCTTAACAGGCAGTATTAGTATGGTGTTAAGAGAGGCATGTTTTAACCTAAAGGGTGTCATTTTATGAGCAAAAACTGGATAAACCTTCAGAGACTTGAAGTCACTATTTTCTTCCTTCCTTGATGCCAAACTCTTCACAGGTTAAGATGACCTCGCACCCATTGTGATGTTCAAAACCCAGGAGGATCTTAAAGGAAAGCCGCTTTGCACAGAGTGTACACACGTGGCTTCCTCCTCCTGGTGAGCCCTGTCTGTCACTGGTTTTCATTCCATGCGTTCGTAAAACACACCAGCCATGTGTGTGAGCCTGCTAATTAAAACAAAATAGAACCATTTCTGTTGTGCTTTAGAACTACACGAACTTTGAGCTGAAGCAGGCAAGAGAAACAGCAGCACCCAGTCTGCTGCTGGGTCCCCAGGCTGCTAGAGAATGAAGCCACTGTATTATAAAAAGCCAGGAAATAGGCACCCGAATTATAGAAGAGAGGTGAGTGAAAAAACAAAATTCTAGTAAGGCCATTTCCCTGAGGAACTGTTTTAATATCAAAGTTTCTGGATAGCAAAGGCTTCCCTGTCTAATCTGATTCCAAAGTTAGCCTCTTCTACAAGAGGAAAGAATAGCTTCAGTGGCTTCAGAGGCCATCCCAGGGTCAGGCGTGGAGACTATTCCTGCCTGAGCTGCTGAGTCACTGCCTTTTGGGGAGCTGCTTGACCTCTGGGGTGCAGCGTACCTAGAAGGTAGAGTGAAGCCTTTGGCTGAGAAGGCTCCACAAGCAAGCCCTTTACTCTTATTGGAAAGCATCTACTGACTTTCCCTACCACCTGAACCCAAAGCATTTAAGTATTATCAATTTGAATAAATTGCATTAGAATACAAAAACACCAATTAGTTTAAAAAAAAAATCACTGAATTCTTCCCAAGGCAAACATTGCCAGAAAAGCAGAAAACACCAAAAATATATTCTAGTCCTCTTGCAGATATGCACTTCATCTCCTAAGGACAGTAAAAACATGGATCAGACAGTACATCTCTAAAAGAGATGCTTATTCTGTACCTTCAATAGGTCATCCAAAGCAGGATGGGAAAAGTGGGGGTGTGTGTGGTAGGGTGGTGTGGAGGGAGGCAGGAAATAGCAACAACGGAAAAAAAATTAAAGGACAGTCAAGACATTCATTACACTCCATATTTTAAAAGGCAGGGGAAAGAAGGACCTCAATAATATATACCATCCTCCTCTATGGGGGACATATCCAATGGTGTCTCTCCATACCTTTCCATACTGCCTTTTCTTCTATTTGTTCTTTGCTTTAACATTACAGGAATAGTAGACTAAATAAACACTCACTTTGTATTTTTAAAAAAATTTATTTGTGATCTGTACATGTGATAAAGTGGGGCTTCATTGTAGACCTTTAAAGGCAAAACAAAACAAAAATCCAAAGTAAAAATGTATAAATACAATATATATTTTCTTATAAAAATGGGAGATTTACAAAATATACATACTGCACTTGTCTCTATTTTACAAATTTCACATGCACTTAAGAGATACAACACAAAAAGATGCGAAAACGTGTGTAATGGGAGTTTTAAAAATCTGACAGATGAGACAGTTTTGAAGGTTTAAGAAACACAAGATCAATTTTAACTTTAATGTAAAAAGCAGCTCCACTCAACTGAACATACGTATATAAAGTAGCTTGTACCCTTTACAGTACCCTCTATGATTGGCATTTAAAAACTGTTCTGAGAAACAGGATAGTGTTGCAAGATTGGAGGGCAGTGTCAAAGGTTAGCTCCCATGATTCTCTGCTCAGCTTTACACCACTATGCAAAAGAATCAGAGTTCCATTACAGAAAAAAAAGTACATGATTTAAGATTAATAAATTTAAGTCTTCCAACACATTTCAAAGAACTGTAGAATCACTTTGAAGTTTACCTTCTTTTAATGACTTTCTTTAAAAATGGGGCCCATGGTCCAGAACTTTCCTCATCGTTCACTATCATATCTGCAGATCACCTCCCCACCCACCCACTCAGAGACAGGGTCAGCATACAGAGGATGTTTTATAAACAGATTTATGGAACCAAAAAAAACAGGACAAAATGATTCTATAAAAAAATTTAACTTTTCTTTGTTATGAGACTGAAGGCATTACGCTTTTTATTTTATCTTGAAGGATCCAAATTGGAGGGAAAAAATAGAAAAGAAACCTAAACATAGGCTTATAGCAAGAAAAAAAAAATGAAGGGAGAGAGTCCCCAGAACATTATAACAGAGCCTGTTGAATCACGTGTTCTGAATTAAATTTATTTAAAACAAACAACAAATCCCTTGCATTTCCTTTAGCCAAGTCAGAACCTCTGACTGAACGGTGTATGGAAGCATACTGCCCTTCACTTTTCCTTAAAAAGGAATGTTTATCGCAACTAAATTAACAACCAAAGGGAAACCTCAGATTTGCACTGCTTTGCCTATAAAAGTTGCTGTCTTCACAGTTATGCCTTTCCACAGGGAGACACTTTTGTTTCCTCTTTGTCTCTTATAACAAAGACAAGGGGGAAAAATGCATTCCTGTTTTGAAAAGCAACAAGTCATCACTTCTTTTCTGGGTATTAGACCAAATAAAACACCTTTCTTTCTGCCTCCTGCCTTCCCCAGAAAATGAAAAAGTAGCGGAAATACCTACTACTCGCCTCCTTGGCCTCCTATCCAAATGTTATGGTCATTTCTTTTGCATCCTCGCATTAGGATTCTAGCAGGCAGGCCTCCCAAGACTCCCAAATGCTTATTTTACAAGACTTGAAAGGGGGAGGGGAGGAAAAGCAGGCGGGAGGGGGCGGGGGAGGAGAGACTGTAATGTCTGACCCTGGAAATTAACCCATCTGGGCTCCAGTTTGGCCCCAGTGAAAAGAGATTATGGTTTGACCACCGCTTGACAAGGACACCGCAGGAGGTCCTCCCTCTTCCCAACAAAGAGGCGGCCGCAGACAGAGCTGTACCTTTCCCTGGGCCTCACAGGAGTGAGGACAGGCCACTTGCCTTGCTGCCAGGGGGATGGCTCACAGACCCAGTTCAGCGGCGGGGCTGGGAAGAACTCACAGTGGTCTCTGGTGGTCTCAATTTTCTCGATAGGCCCAAGCCAGCCCGTACCTTTCACGATTAACATCGTCGTTATTATTATTACCATCATCCTTCAAGTCTTTGCCAGAAGTCTTTTCATCCAAAACGCCTTTCCACCCAGGCCTCCTTTCCAAATCAGCCCTCGCCCAGAATCTGCAAATAATTTTTCACTTCCAGGTCACTTTTCAGTGGCGGGGGAGAAGGTTACAGAAACAAGCCCCCACCAGCGGTTCTTTCCCTACTGAGTCTCTCCCCCTGTAAGGGGGTAGGGGAGGAAGGGTGGGGCGGGGGCCCGGGCTCATACCGCAGTCTCCCCCTTGCTGCTGTGGCTGAGTCTGTGGTAGAAGCGGCGCCACGACTGCAGAGTCTTACCCGACCAGATCCAGAAGCCGGTAGTGATGCCCACGATCATGGTCATCAGGTACTTGATCATGAAGACAGTGAAGTCGGGGCTCATGGGCGGGAAGTGGCCGGGCGGGCAGGGCACCGCGTAGCTCTTGCACGTCTGCAGGAGCCAGGTGCGCTCCCAGTGCTCGCGGAAGGCCTGCTCATAGAAGTAGCAGGCCAACACGATGGTGGCCGGTACCGTGTAGAGCACGCTGAAGACGCCGATGCGCACCATGAGCTTCTCCAGCTTCTCGGTCTTGGTGCCGTCGTGCTTCATGATGGTGCGGATGCGGAAGAGAGACACGAAACCCGCCAGCAGGAAGGACGTGCCAATGAAGAGGTAGACGAACAGAGGCGCCAGCACGAAGCCCCGCAGCGCGTCCACACTCGACAGGCCCACGTAGCACACCCCGCTGAGCAGGTCCCCATCCACCTGGCCCATGGCCAGGATGGTGATGGTTTTGACGGCGGGCACGGCCCATGCGGCCAGGTGGAAGTACTGCGAGTTGGCCTCGATGGCCTCATGGCCCCACTTCATGCCGGCCGCCAGGAACCAAGTGAGTGACAGAATGACCCACCAGATGGAGCTGGCCATGCCGAAGAAGTAGAGCACCATGAAGAGGATGGTGCAGCCCTCCTTCTTGGTGCCCTGCGCCACCGTGCGGTAGCCATCGTCCGAGAAGCGTTCCACGCACACGGCACGGTCTTCCAGCAGGAAGCCGGCCACGTGCGCCACGGCCACCATGAAGTAGCAGCCCGACAGGAAGATGATGGGACGCTCTGGGTAGCTGAAGCGCCGCATGTCGACCAGGTAGGTAAGCACGGTAAAGAGCGTCGAGGCGCAGCACAGCACAGACCACACGCCCACCCAGAGGCGGGCGAAGCGCCTCTCCTCCTCCTTGAAGTACATGAGACCGTTGGCACGGCCTGGCTCGCACGGGGCGCCGCAGTCGCGCTCACCCAGGAAACGGTAGCCCAGGTAGGGGGGCACCTTGAGCTGGCGGGGACATGAGAAGGGGAAGGCGGAGCGCCCCCTGCCATCTGCAGCTCCTGGGGGCAGCGCGGTGAAGGGCAGGTCCGGCAGGTAGGGCGCGGTAGGGTAGGCGGTGGGGCCGCCGCCCGGGCCCCCGGAGCCGTCGGACGTGTTCTGGCCCACGCAGATCTCACCGGCGCCGTGCACCGGGAAGTTCTCGCAGCGCAGCCGCTCGGGCCACTGGAAGCCGAACTTGTTCATGAGCGCCTCACAGCCCTGGCGGGCGCGCTCGCACAGAGAACGGCACGGTGGGATGGCCTGATCGAGCACGGTGCACACGGGCGCGTACATGGAGCACAGGAAGAAGCGCAGCTCGGGAGAACATTGCACCTTCACCAGCGGGTAGAACTGGTGCACCTCGAGGCCCGCGTCCTCTTGGTTCGTGTGGCCCAGCAGGTTGGGCAGGATGGTCTGGTTGTAGGCGATGTCCGTGCACAACGGGATGGAGATGGGCTGGCAGAAGCCGTGGTCCGGCACCGAGATGCCCTTCTCGCCGTGGTACGGCTGCGCCCCAGCGCCCGCAGACAGCGTGCCCAGCAGCGCCAGCACCAGGGCGCACAGGCCCAGAGGCGAGGGCGGCGCGGCCGCGCCGGGGCTCTGCATCGCCGGCCGCGGGTGCAGCGGCGCTCTCAGCCCGAGTGCGACGAGACGGTTGGGAGAGGCTTGGATGCAGAGAGGCGCCGCTGCGCCTGGCGCATGAGAGTCCTCCCGGCGCCTGGCCGTGGGCGGCGTGGAGCAGAGGGCGCTGCCGCTGGTGTGCCTGCGCCGCGGGGGCGAGACCGCCAGCCGCGGGGGCGCCGCAACCGCCTCCGCGCAGCACTCGCGCTGCCGCTCCGGGCCCAAACTCGTTCGCCTGGGCCGGGGGCGCCGAAGGAGGCCTCCTGGCCCTCCCCGCCGAGACGTAACGGTGCGGCTTTCTCTGCCGCGAGGAGCAACAAGCGTCTCCGGTTACCCTTCAAAGTTTGCCCAAGTCTCTCGACCCCCAGCGCACAGTAATGCGCACGCCCCCCACACCAAGTCCGGCCCCTGCCAGGCGAAAGCCGGGTGCCGCCGCCTGCTCGTCCGGGCCGCCGCCTCGGCGGTGCTGCTCCGCCTTCTCGCCTAGAGGCTCCGCTCGCCGCCGCCTCCTCTTTCGCCGCCTCCTCCACACCCCGCTCCTTCTTCAGCCCTTTTTTAAAAGCTTGGCCCCAAGTTTCAGCCAAACGACTGGCTCTCGCTCTGAGTCTGATCGGGGCCCTGGAGCCGAGAGCTTGGCGAGTTCTTTTTGGAAATCCAGTTACACTGCGTCCGAAGGTCCCTGTGCCCGCGGCCTGGACCCGGCCTCTCCAGCCCCACGCAACCCTGGCCCGCGAGTCCCGGCGCCCGCCGTCGCCGCCCGCCGGGAGGGAGCGCCGACTAACGCCTCGGAGTCGCGCTGGTGGCCAGAAGAAGCGTCGGGCTCACCGGGTTCCGGGCCGCCCCGCCCCCTCCCCTCCCCCCATTCACAAACCACTCCGGGGGCGGGCCCCCAAATGCCCGGGCTGCCCAATGGCGGCCTTTGTTTTTTCTGTAGCCGCCTCCGGATTGGGTGGAAGTCGGAAGGGGCGGGCGAGGGAGCGGGGGAGGTGGTGTCTGCTGCGCTCTGGGCGGATTCCTGAGGGGAGGGGCAGGGGACTGGGAGGGAAAAGTTAGGAAAAACTTTTACCCTGAATTCGTTTGGGGGGGAAAACCCTCCAGAAAGGGAATTTGCTTGAAAGATTTGTTCCTCTTCCGGGTATACTAAAACACACATTCCTGAGCAGAAGGGCTCACTCGCCGAAGGCTTTTGCGGGGAGAAGCTGAGAATAGCGCAGCGCCTCAGCTGACAGAGACATGACCCGGAGTCACGTTAGCGCTGCCCGGGCTGAAAATGCTGGGTTTGGCGGGGGCCTTTGGGTAGCCGGATCCTAAATGTGGGGTTTAGAACGGGCGAGAAGGGGGTGCTCCTTGTGGATCGCTTTTCTCTCCCCAGACCGGAACAGACTACGTGAGGCCACAGTCCCCTCTTACCCCTCCCCCCAGTTGTAAAAAGGAGGAGGGGCCGCTTCGGAGGAGAAACCAGAGTCGGGCTGAGGGGAACGACTTGAGGCGGGAGGAAGTGCAGACCCCTCGGAGGAGAGGCCCGGGAGCGGGGCTCGCGGGGAGTCTGGGCCCCAGGCTACTCCGCCCGCGCACGGCCGAGTCTGGGAAGCTGGTGAGGCTTTTAGTGCGGTTTTAAGGAAACTAAGACAGCGTTGGGGGGAATAGTTATAAAAGTAACCTGAGACCGAGAGCCCAGGAACAGTCTGTATGATTTACAGCGCATCTTTGGTTTGCCCTGTTTTCCTTAGTTGTGCGGCGTGTGGCCTTTCGGGATCCCATCTTCGTTGCAGAAGCAATCATTTGATCCTCCTTTTAGAATCTGCGTAGAAAAGTTTAAATGCGTATTAGAAACCAGGGCATTTGCTCATTAAAGAGTTTTCAAAACACAAGAGGGGTTATCCTCGTTCTTGGGTAGCGTATCTCCTTGGCAGGCGTTCTTTTGTTCTAGGTCAAATTGTCTTGCTGCTCCAGGCACTGGGCGCTCGCTCGCGCGCGCTCTCTGGTTACTCCCGGCGAGGTCAGAAGTTGCCAGGGGGCTTCTCCCCTTCTCTCTGGGGTGCCAGGAATATCATGAACTCCCATGCTGGAAAGTGACATGTTGAGAAAGAAATGAAAAATCAAATCAATCTCTCTCTCTCTCTCTCTCTCTCTCTCACACACACACACACACACACACACACACACACACACATCAGTCCTATCTTTAAAAAACGTTATTCCTGGTTGAGCCCTCTGCCAATTCGGGGTGCTGGAGCTCTGAGGGATTTCTGATCAGGTCGAATGTTGGCAGAAATTGCTGCCTGTGTTGCCTCCGGTGCGTTTCTTCTCTAGCAAGAAAAAACTGATTCTGAAATCGAAGATAGTTAATTGGGTTCCCTTCCGTGGGAAACTGGCTTCCTCTTTTTCTTTTATTTTCTATTACTGGAGTTTGCTGGGAATCTTTCCTTCCACTTCACAGTTCTTTGTCGTCTCCCACTTCTGTTAATGGGTCTAATGGACAGAATCCTTTATGCCACAGTAGGGTGTTAGACTGCTCACATCCTCTACCTGGCCCTCAAAGGGAGTCACCTTTTTCCTTCTAAGCATCAGTTTCCTCCTCACACCTGGACAGTTTTTTTTCCTTTGGGGGTATCTATCTGAAGGTAATATAAAGGATTAATGATTTTAAAATGTTTCATTCCTTCCTTGTATTTTAAAAAGGGCTCCTCCTTTTCTTTCTAAATTATTATTCCCATTACCTAACTTCGGGGAGTGTTGATCTTCCGTTGAAAGACGTTATTTAAAGACGATGCCGCTGCTTTGCTTTGTCATTTAAAGTGTGTGTGGTGGGGGGGGTTAGATTCCTTTTTTCTCTCCAAGAGCTTCAGGATATCCTCCTTTTCTAAATCAAATTTTCATGCTTATTCATCAGGCCACTGATCTAAGTCATCTTTGCTTATTGAAGGAGAAATACCAAGCATTGTCATCAAATAAAATGGAAACCGATAGGATAAAATACGGTCTCAAGTGCAACTAAAACCAGTTTAGTTGATGAGCTTCTACTTCTCATATGCCCGAGACAGCTCTGATGTTAGGCAATTGGGATAATAATTTAGAAAGAAAAAAAAGAAAGCCCTTAAAAAAGTACAATGAAATATTTTACAAACAATCCATGCATAAGATGCAGAAAACCTATCCCAGATGGAAAGAGTCACAGATGTGAGTCCTCTTGTTCTGTCCCAGATGGACATATGCAAAAAGCAGAGAAGTAAAGGCATTTTTTAAAGAGATTATTTGTTTTTAAAGACAATTTTTAAAAAGCTGAATCCAAAATTATTCTAAAAAATAAGAATTTGCTGTTTGTGAGAGGGTGCTATAGCTATGCCTGGCCTGATATAGCATGCTATGATTTTAAGGAGCTAAGTAATAAAAGGGAGTAGATCAGAAAAAGTAGTTCACAATGTAAGGGGCTTTCCTGAGCGGTGTAAAAGAAAGAAAAAAAAAAAACGACGAACAAAGAAAAACACAATGTAAGAGGCTAAATAATCTGTTTTAGGCTCTATGACAAAAGTAGTAACATTGGTTTACACTGTGTCCAGGATCAATTTAATTTTCTTTTCCAAGCAACACCTTCCACACCCAACCTCCAAAGCCACTAACTGGTATCTTCTTTGGAGAGCCAAGGGTGGAAAATTTTTTAACTGTCTGCTGCAAAACTTCCACTTGTCCCTGCCCTTTAAAATAACAAAGGCCTTTATTTCTTAACATCGTAGTCATACAGGTCCCACAGAAAAGTGATGCTATTCATTGGTTCCAATTTTTCAAACGCTACTTATTTTGGCCAACTCCTAGGTTTATCTAGTTGAATTACATTCTGATGTAAGGCCAGATTTGAAAATGGCCACCTTCGTGGTGCCCCAATCCTGTGGTTGTAATGAAACACCAGCTGCAAGAATTACTCATGCAATACCAGAAAGGGTAGCTTTTAGAACATGCTTCCCTTTCTGGCCTCTCTTTTACCAGGCAATCTTGACATTATAACATTGAGGACTTGAAATTTCTATTTGCCAGGTTGCCATCGACTTGTGTTCATTTTTGTTTGGGGTGTTAGATCATTCCAAAAATGGGAACATTTTTATTCCTAAAACACTTCTAAGTGTTATGAAAGTTAGAGATGTCTAGATTGAAGAGGAGGAGGAACATGCTAGGTGTTTAGGGCCCTATCCTGTAGAGAAGATTTATATGGCAGATTCAGTAACTAATCTGTTTGACCAACATTCCCCTGGTCGGTTGAGAGTTTTATTAGTTATATATTGTTTTATTAGTTTTATTAGTTATGTATATATAACAAATTATCCCCAAACAACAAACATTTAGTATGTCACAGTTTCTGTATGTCAGACATTTGGGTGCACTTAGCTGGGCCTTCTGGCTTGGGGTCTCTCACAAGACCACAATTGGGGTGTTGGTCTGGGCTGCGATTGTCTCAAGACTCAATTGGAGGACCCACTTCCAAACTCACATGGCTGTTGGCAGGCCTCAGGTTGTCACTAGCTGTTGGCCAGAGAGATCAGTTCCTTGCCATGTGGGCCTTTCCTAAGGCCACTCATAATATGGTACCTTGCTTCCCTCAGAGCAAGGGCTGAGAGAGAGAAAATGAAAAAGAGAAAAAGTGTGTAAAAGATGGCAATCAAGATGGAAGTCACAATCTTTCTGCAATCTAATCTTAGAAGTGACATCTTCTCACTTTTGCTGTATGCTATTCATGAGAAGCAAGTCACTAGATCTACCCACACTCAAAGGGTAGCAGGGATTATACCTTGTGAAAACCCATTGGGAGGGAAATCATTGGGAGCCATTTCAGAGGCTGCTTACTACAAGGGATATTCATTCATTTATTCCGAAAGTATTATGAAGATGAGGCCACAGAGAGAAGCAACTCTTCGGTCTCTATCCTTGGGGAGTCCAGAGAAAAAGTCACAGATAAAAATACAGTATTGATTGGTTATGATGCCACTTGCATCTGTTAGGGTGACAACAGAACCCTAATTCAGGCTAACCATTTTTCCAAACACATGTCATTGGACTCAAGGGAGAAAGAATGTGAAAGAAGTTGATTAATAAAAGACCATCGTCAATTCTGGAAAAAACCTCCAAGTGCAGAGGGTGGGCCATTCTGGGAAGTCAAATCTGTACTCAAAGGACAGAGCATTTGGACCATATCTGTAGAAAGAGACCGGCTGTCCAGGTTATGAGATAAAAGTATGTGGGTGATTGCTATGCATTTCTTCAATGCTGGTCTGTACAGTACTGATGTATATAGGTTGCAGAGGTGGTTGGTACGGACTGGTTTAGTTCTACTTTTCACCATTGATTTCCTGTCCTGCCTCAGGCAAGTCACTTAACCTCCCCAGCTCCCCCAGGTTGTTGTGAGAATTAATTAGGTAATATTTACAAAATGCTTTGTGATCCACAGGCAAAAAATCATCAGGGCAGGATTCTTCTTTGGTTATATGGATACAAATCAGAGAGATAAAATAGAGGCTGCGTATTTTGTAACTGGCTCTTTGCTAAGATTGTATGCAATTTTTACAGTGGTATACTGGTAAATGTTTAACCACTGACTCTCCAGGAAAAAAAAAAGCCCTGATCTGTACATTTGCCAATTTCCATGGTGTAAATACTGCTACCATGGCCAATTTCAAGACAACATGATGTCACTGAACTTGGAGTTTGGAAAAGATGCACATAATAAGCTCCACAAGGCCGTAAGATCTGGCTGT